ATTCCACCCTCCAGTGACTGTCTGTGTGGAGTTTGCATATTCTCCCCCGTGTCTGCGTGGGTGTGCTCAAGTTTCCTCCCGCAGCCCAAAGATGTGCAGGTTATGTGGATTGACCATTCTAGATTGTCTAGGGAAGTGTAGGCTAAGTGGATTAGCCATGGGAAATGAAGGTTATAGGGTAGGGTGATGGGTCTGGATGGAATTCTCCTTGGTGGGTCATTGTGGGTGTGATGGGCTGAATGGCCTGCTTCCCCACTGTATGGCTTCTCTGATGAATGAAGAAGGTGTTTGGAACATTTGCCTTTATAGGTCAGTGAATTGAGTATAGGAGTTGGGAGGTCATGTTGCAGCTGTACAGGACATTAGTTAGGCCACTTTTAGAATACTGCGTTCAATTCTGGTCTCCCTGCTACAGGAAAAATGTGAAACTTGAAAGGGTTCAGAAAAGATTTACAAGGATGTTGCGAGGGTTTGAGCTACAGGGAGGGGCTGAATTTCCCTGGTGCATCGGAGGCTGAGGGGTGAATTTATAGAAGTTTATAAAATCATGAGGGGCATGGGTAGGGTGAATAGACAAGGTCTTTCCCCTCAGGGTAGGGGAGTCCAATACTGGAGGGGCATAGGTTTGAGGTGAGAGGGGAAAGATTTAAAAGGGACCTGAGGGGCAACATTTTCACGCACAGGGTGGTGCATGTATGGAATGAGCTGCCAGAGGAAGTGGTGGAGTCTGGTACAATCACAACATTTTAAAGGCATCTTGATGGGTACATGAATAGGAAGGGTTTAGGGGAATATGGGCCAAATGCTGGCAAATGGGAATAGGTCAGATTGGGATGTCTAATCGGCACGGGTCTGTTTCCATGCTGCATGACTCTACGACAGATTATTAGGGGCACAATATCCAGTCCAAGATTTTATGAACCTTTAAACTCCCTGCTCTGCATTTTCTGGCAATGTTTTCTCCCTGTCTTATGGTGTAGGTTCTGCATCAGGCAGTCAATTCCCTGATCTGATTGGTAAAATATTTGCATCTGGAGGGATTTGGTTGTCCCTGAACATCAGTCACAGAACGGAATGGAATGCAACAGTTCGGAAAATCTTCCGACAATTACGCAGTATGCTTGCTGGGCCCTCGCTTGCTGTGTTGATGTTTCCTCGCAGTGAGAAGAATTTCCTCACTCCACTATAAACAAGGTTTATGACGCTGTTTGCTGAGAATGACGTTGCTGCACTGTTCGGAAAGTTTGAGCAGATTTACCTCCCTGCACTCTGAGAGGCGACAGGACTGTAAAATTTACAAACCTGACCGGGTTCTGTTCAGCGTAGAGGCACCTTGCTTTGGGCTGGAGAGCCTTGAACATAAGTCATGGTTTCTGCACAAGGACTGTGTTGTAGAACATAAAGGCCTAGGTACATAATTCTTGCAAGTTTGCGTCACATGTAGACAGGATGGTTAAGAAGGTGTTTGGCACGCTTACTTTCGTTGCTCAGTCTTTTGAGTATAGGAGTTGGGACGTCAATTTGAGGTTGTAGAGGATGTTGGTGAGGCCTCTTCTGGAGCACTGTGTCCAGCTCTGGTTGCCCTGTTACAGGAAGGATATTATTAACCAGGAGAAGTTTCAGAAGAGATTTACCAAGATGTTGCTGGGAATGGAGGGTTTGAGTTATAAGGAAAGCCTGGCTAGGCTGGGACATTATTCACTGGATCGTAGGAGTTTGATGGGTGACCTTATTGACGTTTATAAAATCATGAAGGTTATAGATAAATTGATTTTCATGTCTTTTTTTCCTTAAGGTGGGGGATTTCAAGACTAGAGGGCATATTTTTAAGATGAGAGCAGAAAGATTTAAAAAAGACACAGGGGGCAAATTTTTTACACAGAGGGTGGTTCGTGTGTCAAATGAACTTCCAAAGTGGATGTGGGTACAGTTACAACGTTTAAAAGACATGTGGATAAGTACACAAATAGGAAAGGCTTGGAGGGATGTGGTCCAGGCGCATGCAGGTGGAACTAGTTTAGTTTGGGACAATGGTCGGCATGGACTGGTCGGACCGGAGGGTCTGTTTCCATGCTGTAGGACTCTATGACTGAAATTTCTTCTTGCGAATCTTTGGAATTGTCAATTCCAGATACTCTGTGGACTACATCCAGGACAGCGACTGATGGATTTTTTAGATTTTAAGGGAATTAGAAATCAGATAAGGGATGAGGCATTGGAGAGCAGATATATGGGAACACCATCCCCTGCAAGATCCTGTCTGAGCCCCACACTATCCTGACTTGGAAATATATTGGCAGATCACTCTAAATCTGTGAAACTCCCCTGCCCAACCCCATTCCTTTTATCAATGGAAGCTATCTTCTCCCTATCTGCTCTGTCCAGCCCAGAGCCCACTTGTGATTTCGAAATTCTCATTGAGCTGTCCCTCTTGGACCTTCCTCTATCCAAGGAGAATGGTCCCAACTTCTTCAACCTCTTCTCATCGCTGAAGCTTCTCATCCTTCTGATCATACAGTACAGAAGAGACCCTTTGGCCCACTGAGTCTGCACTCTGACCTATATTAGTCCCACTTTCCCTGCACTAGGCCCGCACCCTTGAATGTTACGATGCTTCTGTAACACTCCTGGAGCCATTCTTGTGGAAACAGAGAAAATCAGAGCAGGAGTAGGCCCTTCGGCCCCTCGAGCCTGCTCCAGCCATTCAATAGGATCATGGCTGATCATCCGACTCAGTTCCCCGTCCCCACTTTCTCCCCCATAGCCCTCCCCACCTCAAGCCCATAGGGGAAGCAATGGCTGAATGGTATTATCACTGGCCTGTTAATCCAGAGACCCAGGAAATGCTCTGAGGACCTGGGTTCAAATCCTGCCGCGGCTGATGCTGAAGTTTGAATTTGGACTTAAGAGTCTAACGATGACTATAAATTGATTGTCACTAATGTCCTTTAAGGAAAGAAACTGGCATGGCCTACATGTGACTCCAGATTGACAGCTAATGTGGTTGGAATCATCAAATCCCTACAGTGTGGAAGCAGGCCATTTGGCCCATCAAGCCTCAAGATCAAGTAAAGAGCATCCCACCCAGACCTATCCCTGTAACCCTGCATTTACCATGGCTAACCCACCTAACTTGCACATCCCTGGACATTCTGGATAATTTTGCGTGGCCAATCCACCCTAAACTGCACAGCTTTGGACTGTGGGAGGAAACCCGCGCAGACACGAGGAGAACGAGCAAACTCCGCACTAGTCGCCTGAGGCTGGAATCGAACCCGGGTCCCTGGCGCTGTGAGGCAGCAGTGCTAACCACTGAGATGTTGTGGTTGGCATTTGACTGCCCTCTGGGCAATTATTACTGTCACATGTACCGAGGTACAGTGAAAAGTTTTGTTTTGTGTGCTCTACAGGCAGATTGTACCATACAGAGTGCGCCAGGGTAGCAGAACAGGGTGCAGAGTACAATGTTACAGACGTAGGGAGGGTGCAGAGAGAGATCGATAGGGTAGCTCAGTGGTTAACGTTGCTGCTTCACATCCTTGGGTGACTCTCTGTGTGGAGTTTGCACATTCTCCCTGTGTCTGCGTGGGTTTCCTCCGGGTGCTCCGGTTTCCCCCCCAAGTCCAAAGATGTGCAGGTTAGGGTGGATTGGCCATGCTAAATTGTCCCAGAGTGTGCAGGCTGTGTGGGTTAGCCATGGGAAATACAGGGGTTATAGGGATAGGGTGGGTCTGGTTGGGATGCTCTTCAGAGGGGCAGTGTGGACTCAACGGGCCAAATGGCCTGCTTCCACACTGCAGGGATTCAATGATTTCAAAAGGACGGCCAATAAATGCTCCTTTATCTATTAACGGGATGAGGATATTGCTGGCCAGGCCAGCATTTATTGTCCATCCCTAATTGCCCAGAGAGTAGTTAAGAGTCAACCACATTGCTGTGGGTCTGGAGTCACATGTAGACCAGACCAGGTAAGGATGGCAGTTTCCTTCCCCAAAGGACATTAGTGAACCGGATGGGTTTTTCCTGACAGTAGACAATGGATTCATGGTCATTATTAGATTCTAATTCCAGACTTTTATTAAATTCAAGTTCCACCATCTGCCTTGGCAGGATTCAAACCCGGGTCCCTGGAACGTTATCTGGGTCTCTGGATTAACAGTCCAGCGATAATACCACCAGGCCATCACCTCTCCAATTGGCCCTAGCTAATGATGCCCTTATGGCCCGCATGATTAAAGACATTGCAACTTTTTGTTTATTTGACTTGTGCCCGCAAAAGGTCTAACCAGAGACCTTCGAAGGTGACGACTTGGCCACTCGGGGAAGGGTGCCAGCGATGCCAGCCTCTGTGGAGATAGAGCAAAAGCTGTATCTGGTCAGCCACCTTCCTTGTGGGTTTGCAATCTGTGTGTTACCAGAGGATATGGCGTGTGGACCACTATCCATTCCTGCTCCCCTGCATTCAGGCTGCACGCAAGTGAAAGGAGAATGGAGAGAAAATACAAAAGACATAAAAGGGTTATTGTTGATGACGGGGGGTGTGGTGGACAAAAAGCAGGAAAATTGCTCTTCGTCTCAAATGCCAACCATCCCCATGGCAACCCTCGAAGTTTCAATTCCTTTGATGTCAGGGTTTTGTACCTGGGAGAATTGGAGAGTTTGGGGGTGGAGGGGATGCATGACTTAACTTGTGTTTGTTGAGGGAACGTGTTCCTGGAGGTCAACATCAGCCTGGCTTGGGGAGACACGATTACCCCCCTCTACCACAAGGAACTCTGACATTGCGACACCTCCCGCAGTCGGATAGCCGGCCCTCGGGAGTAAAGAGAGAGAGAGAGAGAACGCAATTGGATGAGAAGCCAGTGGCTAACAATCCAGGCTCATGAGGGTTAAGGTGAAGTTCTCACTGCCTCTTTTTGCCTGAAGCTGGATACCTGACACGCCTCTCGCTATTTAAAGTCACTCAGGTGCTTTCAGTGCGACACTTGAACCTCCTGTATCCGAGCTGGGGGTTAGCTGCTATCGTCTTCCGTGTACCCCGGACGCCGATCTAGCTTCCTCGCACTCTCTTGATCAGACAACGTTTGACGAGGTACTGAGCTGCACGTTCGGTGCTGGGGAGGGATTTGGGGCGGGGGGGAGATGTCTGGGGCACAGTGCAGAGCGCAAGATCAGGGAGGAGGGCAGCAGTGGGGCGCGGTGGAGGCGGTTTTCGCAGTGGCATTTGAGCATCCTTGAACGGGATAGAAAGCCCCCGACGAGCCATCGAGCCAAGACATGGACGTTGGGTACCGAGAGAGGCAGTGGACAGTGAGACAGAGAGAGAGAGAGACTGGGCACCGAGGGAGTGAGCACTGAGGGAGAGTGGGCACCAAAACAGGGGAGGTGTGGGGGGGAGGGATCCGAGGCTCCACAATGGAATTCAAATGGATTTAAAAAGTCCGGAATGAGGAATCAGAGATGAACTCCTTCATTAATTGGAATGTGATGGATCTAAGGGTCTGTTTCTTTGCTGGTTCGCTCACAGTGCCCAGAGAAGGAAACTGGCACATTTACCCTTCTCTATGTGAGTCCAGGCCCCACACAACTGGGCTAACACTTTATTGCCCTGTGGTCTATTAAGGACGCAATACTTATGATAGACACTCCCATCCTGGGCAGCATAGTGGCTCAGTGGGTAGCACCGCTGCCTCGCAGCTCCAGAGACCTGGGTTCGATTCCACCCTCGAGCGACTGTCTGTTTGGAGTTTGCCTGTTCTCCCCTGTGTCTGCTTGGATTTACTCCCACAGTCCAAAGATGTGCAGTTTGGGGTGGATTGGCCACGCTAAGTTGCCCACAGTGTACAAAGATATGCAGGCTTGGTGGGTTAGCTGTGGATAAGGCAAGGTTACAGCGATAGGGTGGGATGCTCTTCAGAGGGTCGGTGTAGGCTCGATGGGCCGAATGGTCTGCTTCCACCCTGTAGGGATTCAATGATCTATGCACAGATGTTGAGGGAGGGAATTTTGGAGACTAGGTTCCCACAAGGCTCAACAGTTAATGACATGAGGAAATGGAAGGTGACCAGAATTGGAAAAGTATGGAGAACTTGAGGAGGCTGGGGCTGGAATATAGAGGGTGTGGGCCCGTCACATGGGCTGGAGGAGAGTAGCGAGCCCGTGGATGGATTTGAAATCAGAATGTTAAAATCGACGTGCCCCTTTCTGGGCGCCGATGTGGGTAGAAGGAGGTATTGATGATAGGGTCAACGAGCCTCGTGTGTGTGTGTTTGTGTGGCACGGTTGGGGTCAGGACATGTTGCGATGGGAGGGGAGGAGCGTCTTAGGGTAATGGAGCATTGGAGACCAGGGCATTGGCGGGGACAGGCCAGAGGCAGCGATGCCAAGATTAAGGGCATCGTTTGTGAGGGGCACAGCAAGATCCCATAGCCCTTCCTTTGGCAGGGCAGAGGTGTGCAACCTTTCCACAGTTGCCCTCCAAAGCCTCATGCTTGCTGTAGGGTCAAAATCTGGAGGACAGCCTGCACCACACCCCCACCTCAATTTCTCACTCCAAATGCCCTTGGGGGCCATTTTGAGCCCAAACAATCAGAAGATGACAGCGGGTAATGTAAAATAAGGGGGGGGGAGTTTGGGAGGGGGGGGTGGTGGTGGTGGTGGTGGTGGTTGGGCCATGGCCAAGTTGGGGGAGAGAGGGGTAACGGGCCTACGCTTTGGTGAAGAGGCAGATGGAGTTCATTACTGGGAGTCGTGGACCACATTGTGTCCTGGATCTTGCCCTCCCCTCATCAAACCTGCCCCCCCGCCGCCCCGGGAACTACCATCATTGAGGCTCTCCTCCCTCCATTGGTGGTGGGGGGTGGGGTTGGGGGTTCAATGTCAGCCAGGTCACCTGGGCGGACATCTTGTTGGGCATGGGAGAGACACAGCAAAATGGCTGCTCGCTTGGCCAACGCTGTGCAGTTGGAGTTAGCCCCCAAGGACCCGAATGGAATGTTTGGGCTGAATGGTTAATTTCTGCACCGTGCATCCAACCAGTGGGGCAGAAAAAAATTAGCCCAAAGAGAAAGAACTTGCATTTAACCAGGGGGCAATTCCTATCCACTGCTGCTTACCGCACCCCACCCCGCCCAAACCCAGTTTTACTTCCTGTTTTTAATTCCGATTCCCTCCACATTCTGCTTTTTTTCATTGATATAGCACCTACTGGATGTCCCAAGGGTTGTTAGTGCCATCCATCTTTCAGCCCAAGCTATGAGTCACAGATCCATTGAGGGTCTACAGCACAAAGAAAGGCTCTTAATGCATTGATTAATAAGAATTATAACAACCTGGATAGAATTACATTCGAATTTCCGAATTAAAATCCAGAATTAAATTAAATTCTGAATTTCTGAAATAAATTCAGAATTTACACAGCCCTTTGGCCCATCTTATTTCCCCCCTTCCTCTCGCCCCACCTATTTATCCCCCTGTTCCGCGTTCCCTCATGGCTTTATCCAGCTTCCCCATGGATCCATCCCTTCCGCGCTGACCACTCCTAGTTGGAACAGGCTCTGCCTTCTCCTCACTCTCCGGATGAAGGGAATTCTCTGGAATCATGGAGACCTGGGAACATGCAAGATGAGGTTCTGTCACAGAATCATCGAGGCCTGTACCATCAAGATAACAGTCAACCACATTGGGCTGTGGGTCTGGAGTCACATGTAGGTCAGACCAGGTAAGGATGGCAGTTTCCTTCCTGAAAGGACATTAGTGACACAGATGGGTTTTTCCAACAATCGACAATAGATTCAATTTCGTCATTAGACTCTTAATTCCAGATTTTTTTGGCATCGCAATTGCACGTCTATACACTTCCTCAATACGATGGGAGTTTCTGCCTGTGCCACCCTTACAGGTAGATTCCCAACACTCTTTGGGCGAAAGGTTTGTTCCTTATATTCCTTCTAAAGCTCCTGCCTCTTCTGTTCCCCCACCATCCCCCACCCCTGTCATTGAGCCCTCCATCTGGAGGAAATGTTTCTTCCTGTCTATGCCCCTCATCATTTTTGATATCTCAATCATGTCCCCCTCTTAATCTCCTCTACTCTAAGTACAAACACCCCAGTCTAACCAATCTCTTTCCATCACTGAAACTCTCCAGCCCAGGCATCCTGGTAAATCTTTCCCAGACTGGGCAACATTCTGGTAAATCTCTCCCGGACCAGGCAACATCCTGGTAAATCTTCCACTGCACCCTCTCCAGTGCAATCACTTCCTTCCTATAATGTGGATTCCAGAACAATACAAAGTACTCTAGCTGCGTAGCCTAGCCGACATTTCATACAGTTCCAACATCACCTCCCTGCTCTTACGCTCTGTACCTCAGCTAATGAGACCACTCCCAATCAAGGGTTACCTCTATGGGGGACAGGGATAAGAGTTTGAGGAGGAGAAGGTCAGAGTGTAAGGGGGCAGGGAGGGTTTATAATGAACTGCCCTTGGGGTTCATACTGGTGGCTTCAATGGAGAACGTCTGTAAAAAGCCCACACATTCTGGGTCATCTCTCTCCCAGCTTAGACATGTGTGCTTCTACATGGAAGTGGTCGTGGGTTTGGAAGGTGGTGCTGAGGATCTTTGGTGAATTTCTGCAGTGCATCTTGTAGATGGTACACACTGTTGCGACTGAGCGTCGGTGGGTGGAGGGAGTGGGATGTTTGTGGATGTGGTGCCAATCCAGCGGGGGCTGCTTTGTCCTGGATGGTGTTGAGCTTCTTGAGTGTTGTTGGAGCTGCACCCATCCAGGGCAAGTGGGGAGTATTCCATCAAGCTCCTGACTTGTGCCTTGTCGATGGTGGGACAGGCTCTGGGGAAGTCAGGAGGGGAGTTACTCGCTGCAGGATTCCCAGCCTCTGACCTGCTCTTGTAGCCGCTGTGTTTATGTGGTGAGTCCAGTTGAGTTTTTGGTCAATGGTGACCCTCAGGATGTTGATAGTGGGATGTTGTAGAGGCTGGAGGAGGTGACAGGGAGGAGTGTAAGGGCTGGAGGAGGTTACAGAGATAGGGAGGGTGTAGGGGCTGGAGGAGGTTACAGAGATAGGGAGGCGTGTCGGGGAATGAAGTAGGTGACAGAGATTGAGAGGGGTGTAGGGGCTGGGTGATGTTACAGGGTTGGGTAGGGGTGGAGGGAATGGAGGAGGTCACAGAGACAGAGAGGGGGTTTAGGGGCTGGTGTTGGTGACAGAGATAGGGAGGTGTGTAGCAGAATAGGGGTTGGGATGACAGAGACAGGGAGGGGTGTAGGGGGACGGGGTTGGTGGGGGTGACAGACACAGAGAGGAGTGTAGGGAATGGAGGATGTGACAGAGATAGGGAGGGGCGCAGGGAGACAGTGTGGT